CCTCAGGATAATTTCCAAATCCCAAACAGGGATGTATCAACCAAGTTGAGTCAGGAAAACAAACCACTCTAGAAATGTCACTGGAAGAGATTTCATTCAAGGAATTTGGTACTTAAAAAGAATTAGAGGTGCTAGAGGAACAAAGATGAGGGAAGGGCACCACAATCGGGTTTGGCACAGCTTTCTGAAAGTGAAGACATTGCAAGAACTGAAGGGAACAGCTGAAGATGCCCAGGCTGCCTGCAGCACCTAAGCCAGGATTTGAAGGCAAATGCCCAAGGCCATTACCAGACCTGAGGGCTGAAACCCAGGCTTTTCTGCCCGCCGCCGCCAGAGGAGCAGTAACATGGCTTTCCTTTCCCCTTCTTCGTTTCATGTGCAAGACTCTCAGTGGCAACAAGGAACTCTCGAGATTCTATAAATGTAGTTCCCAGGCTTCTACCCCCTGCAGTGTAGGGAAGAGCATGGAAGCAGAAGATGGTGCTGAGCAGCTAATAGACAGTCCATACCAATTATCTGTAAGACCGCATGTGATCCCCTCCACTGCCCTTCTCCAACTTCAGCTCTCCCATTCTTCTCCACCGTTCACCTTTATTCCACCCTACTAACCCCCAAATTCCAGACATACTAGACAGGTTTTTTTAGAAGCCCTAAGCAATTCACATTTATTATCGCATCATTTCTGTGGGTTAGAGATTCAGGAGCAACTGATCTGGATGGTTCTGCTTCCGGGCCTCTCATTAGGCTGCAGTCAAGATGTCGGTCAGGGCTATAGTTATCTGAAGGCTCGGCTGGGGCTGGAGGATCCACTTTCTTTTTTTTTAAAATTAAAATTTATTGGGGTGACACGGGTTAGCAAAGTTACATAGGTTTCAGGTGTACAATCCTTTAATACATCATCTATATATCACATTGTGTGTTCACCACCCAGATTCAGTTCTCTTGCCAGAGGATCCACTTCTAAGATGGTTCCCCCACATGGCTGTGGGCAGGAGGCCTCACTTCCTTGCTACATGAGCTCCTTGTTAGGACTGCTTGAGTGTCCTCACATCATGGCACCTGGCTTCCCCAGAACAAGCGACCCAAGAGATGAAGGAGTAGCATCCTCCAGTGCTTAACCACCCCCTTCTGGGAGCACTTTACCTGGTGTCTCAGGTCCAGTTCCCTGGAAAACAGAAACTGAGATAAGGATTCTTGGAATGTGACACATCAAATGAATGAAATAACTATCTGAATAGCTGAATGAGCCCTTCTACTGGTAGAGAATCAACATGCTTAGCTTCCCTGGACCTATGTCCATTTCTGGGGCGCCAGCTGAGCGGGAGCCATGTTGTCCGATCAACCATGGCAATGGGCAAAGCCCCAGAGCAGGTCTCCACATCCTGAGTAGCAGCACCTTCCAAGTTCGTGTGCCCTACCCAGGCTTTTCATTGCAAAATTAGAATGAAAATGTATTTCTCATTTGTGGGTAGGAGAGTATTAATATTAAAATATGAGAGAGATATTTTTAAAAGGAATCTTAGCTCGAGTTTCAATGAGCTCTTGGCTAGAAGTACATTTTTCCTGGCTTGCCACATCCTGGCTGGGTACATGTTGTTAGACATGGAGCCATGAGGGGAGGCCTGCCATTTGCAATATTAATTGTAATCTAAACATTTGTTTCTTTCATAAGATTCAGGCATTGGATTTCAGCTTAGATAACCAAAACTTTTGGACAAGGGAATATTGTCCATATCGATAGCAGAGTTATTCCCTGCTGTCTGTAACACATGGAGAAAAAATGGAGCCACTGAGCCCTCCCCCCCCCGCCCCCCTGCTTTCATGGGTTATCATACTCCCCAAATTGTTAACTTCAAAAAGCCTGAAGAGATGCAAAGAAATCTCCCTGGTTTGTTCTGCTTTCCAGCTGCTAAGTCTAATGTAAGCCTCATACTATTTTCATGAAGTGAACTAGTTTATTGGGAAGAAAGGGTTTTTCATATCTAAATCTCATGTTTAGTTTTTTGTTTTTTGTTTTTTTTTAACCACAAAGCTGGTTTTCTTTCCCCATCTTTTCCTGGGATAATTTCTGGCTCTGGTGAGGTTCTGCCTTTCCAGGACTTTCCTGATTCCTGCGTTTCAGGCCCCTCACGAGATTCAGTCCTCTGAATGTTCAACAAATGGACCCATTTCGAATCAGGCATGAAGCAGCAGAAAGGGGTGGGGCAGACTTGTTTCTTTGTGGGGAGACTGCTGGTTACATCCAGCCTGACATAACAATGAGGACCTCTTTGTTACTAGCCACAGAGCTAGAAAACCCAGGCCCTTGGATGCCGTTTCGGGAAGGTAAATTGGTAAATGAAAAAAATATCAGACAGGTCTCACATCTGCTTTCTTGTCCTTCCCAACCCCCAACCCATTGTTGTTTGTGGCTTTAGAGATGTTTAAGAGAAAGCAAAGGCAATGACAAAGACGCTATAGTACTTTTCCTGTATTTGGGATCCTCATTTTTGTTCAAAAGAGAATCCAAGAGATCATTTTCCTCAGTATTTCCACAGGGAGGTTTCACCCATCTCCCAGGAAAGGGAGCGGTAGGGCGAACGCTTCCCTCTGTCTGCCTGGTGATAGAGGGGAGCTGACTGATTGAAAGGCAGGGTGACTGCTCCGTTACTCCTTTTCTCTCTGCCAGGCCAGTGGAACATGCGATGTACACCCACGGTCCCTGCAGAGGGCTGCACACATGGACTTGGAGCCAGAGCATACGTGTTCTGAGCAATAGATTTTCATGTGGAAGGCAGGAAGGGGTCCTCGGATCCAAGCTGCAGTTCTTAAGCACAGCTCATGAGCTTCTTGGGCCCTCACTTGGCCATCAGTAAAGCTGACCGTAGGCTAGCAGATGTTGAAGTAAGGCACCACTTGTCAGAACCCTCTGCATCACCCACTCCTGACACTGAGTGCCTCCTGTATGGCCTCGCTGAGGTGTTTCCCACGAGCTTCAAACTCACTGTGCTGAAAAAGCGAGCTCCCGCTCACACCTGCTTCTCCCATGCTTCCCATCTTGGCGATTGGCCTCTATGTTCTTGGGGTACCCCAGGCTGACATTCTGGATGTCGGAGCATAAGAGGCCCCTGAAGCCTGCTTTCTCACCATCCCCATGCAGTGCCCCTCTGGTTGGCTTCACCCTGCTTATCATTCAGGTCTCCGCTGGGACATCACCTTCGCCTGAGTCTTTGCTGACCCAGAAGGCTGGGTGCTCCTGGACCCCCCCACACTTCCCCACCATCATCCTAATTCCACTGAAGCATGTTTGACCAGTCACTTCTCTGCCTCTCCTGCTAGACTTCAAGTTCCTTGTAAGCAAGGTCTGGGCCTTGTTCATCCTCGAGTACCAGTGCCAGCATAGGGCCTGCCTGTCCTAGCTGTTTAATAAATAGTTCTTGGCCCAAGTGTACCCGATGCTGTGGAGTGTAGTGGTCACAAGCCCAGCTTTGGGACCTGGGGCCTGGGCTCAGAACTTGCTATTGGTGTGACCTTGGGTGAATTGTTTAACTTATTGATCCTCAGTGTCTTCACTAACAAGATGGGGACAGTAACCACTACCTGGGTTGCAATGCTGAAATGCAGCAATCTATGCAAAGCACCTAGAGCCATGTGTAACACATAGTAAATGTTCTGTTTCGTAGTGTCTAGTAATAGTAGCAATCATAATAATACAGTTATCCTTAATGAAAAGGAAAAGGCTCTAAGAAAGAGCTGGAACTATTAATAGACATCGGGCATGCTGAGTGCCTGCACAGGGGGTTAGAACAGGTGGGGAGTTGATTGGGAAGCGAGGTTTCTATCTAGGACAGTGAACATGTAGGAGCAGATGGGGTTACTCTGGGAAAGAATGAACAAGAAGGGGAAAATGGGGCAGGGGAACTGAAGACAGAACCTTGAGAAATCTTAAATCTGGGGACAAGAGGAGTCAACAGGAAAGAAAGGAGGAGACCATGGCTTATCAGATGCCAGGGATGGGAGTTTTCAAAGGTAGCCAAGGGTGCTGTGCTGAGCAGAAGGCCTAGAGAAGACAAGAAGAGGCAGCTAGAATCTGCTAACTGGGAGAGCGGTGGCACTGTTGGGGCCAAGCCTTTTCAGAAGTGGCAGGAAGGACGAAGCCATACCTACACGGGGTTAGAGAGGACCGGGTTAGGGATGACGTGGGCACACGTGTGCTGCAGTGCGTGTTTCTGTAACACAGGTTCGTCTGTGGATAAAGGACCGATGTCAGTACAACGTGGAAGTCACGTTGGTTCACATGGAGGGTTTTTTTCTCAGCATGTTAATGTTTTTCATCCGTGCCTGAATGTGCCTAGCACAGCTGAATGTGGCAACCTCGGAGGTAGGGGGTGTGGGGAGACATGGTGCCCAGGCTTCCTGGGTCTTTGCTTGGCTGTTGGGTGCCTGCTCTGTCTGAAAGAGCTCCGAGGGCAGGCCTTACCCATCTTTATGTGTCCGTTCACTGATTTCGTAACACTCAGTGGCCAGAACCGCTCTGTGACTCCTTTCATCATGCTTACACCCCACAACCTTATCTAAGGTCAAGGGTCATGTGTACTAGACCATTTCTTTATCAGGAGTTTAATATATTTTTAAAATTTCAGTGTTATTTATTATGATTATTCTTTTCATTAGTGCTTGGATTACATTTTTAACTTCATTCCCCAACCCTATTGCTCTGTGAAGCCTTGTTATTTTTAGTTTGAGCTTGTGAAGCGTTGGTTTTCAGCAATGCGTATGTCCACTTATAGAAGATACCCCATTACTCCTCCTCCTCAGGTTGAACAGTGCTGGAAGGAGGGATGGGAGGGAAAAGCGGGGTCTATGGAAGGTTTGCTCAAGGATCAGCGGACCTGCCCGTGCTTGGCTGCAACTTGGTCTAAATGCATTTGCCCGCAGTGACTGTTTTCCTGGGTGCTCGTCATTGTATATTTGGATGGTTATGGTTTTGCATTTTTATGCTCTCTGATCTTTTGCTGCAGCCGGAACAAGCGTCTGAGGCCGAGTTACACTCCCAGCTGAACAGAGCCTCCTCTCAAGCTGCAGAGAGTAGTCCAACAAAGAAGGTATGGCCAGCACGAGGGTGCCACTGCCATGGCATCATGAGCCCTCCCCTCGGCTTTTAGCCCCTGGTAGCACATCTACTGTTTTAAGGTTCTCAGGTCCTGACGTGAATGTTAATAACCTAGACTTCCTAGAATTTGGGTTCTTTGTGAATATGGGGTCCTGATGATTCCTGGGCTGGACCTTGATGGCTCTGACAATTTGCACTTTCCTCTTCAACCTCCCAGCTAAATATGGCAGCCTTGCTTTTGACAAGATGAAGGGCTGCGGTGGGGAGAGATAGATGCCTTTAGCAGACCCTGGCACACTGCTAAGCCTCTAGGAATGCCTCTGGGGGGCACGGTAGTCCCCCACCTTTGTCTTTGTACTGTGGTCTCTGCATCCCAGCATCTTCACCTCAGCCCAGCCGTGTCACTGACTCACGGGTCACTTGCTCAGTAAGCAGCACTCACTGGGCTATCCTTTCATCCTCTCACCCGCTTCTGTCCTTCCCCATTTTCTCAGCCCCTTCTCCCATGGAGGAGAGCGGGCCCTGGGCTCCAGAACACAGCTGAGGCCGGGGCCTCCAACAAGCATGTCCGCTGTCTCCTTCCAGCAGTCACTGGCCCTTGAGCTTGACTTTGTGTAGGAATTGGGGGTAGGAGAATGCTGAGCATGTGACTAAGACCATTACAAAATTTATATTCCCAAAAGCCCAAAGTGAGGCAAGAGCGAATTTTGTCTTCAGTTAGAAAAGGCTTTGTGGTGTGAGATGCACACAGCCTTTAAAAACGAAAGGAAAGGCTGGCGGGTGGGCCACTAGAATCTTTTCGTGTCCTTCCAGGTGACAAAAAGAGTAATAGGCTGCAAGCATGGAAAAAAAACCCAGGAAGAAAGAAAGGTCACTGGCATGTGATGCCCACGCTGCTCCAGTGTTGCCGAGTGTGGCGTTTGAATACAGCACATGTTGACTTTGGGGATGGATGTAGAGGAACATCGGGCATTGGCATGATGATGGGGAGCATTTAATTTTTTAGCTTTTTGGGTTTTTTGTTTTGTTTTTAATCTGCAGGATGTGACATATTCTCAGCCTCCATCAAAGCCTATCCGTAGGAAACTACGACCTGAAAATCAAGCTACAGAAAACCAAGAGCCTTCTACCACCGTTGGCGGGCCAGCTTCTGCAGGAACCATGAAGCCCCATCCAACAGTCCAGAAGTAAGGAGAACATCTAGATACGTGAGAGCAGGCTTGGAGACTTTGCTTTACATCTTCGTATACATGTTTACATTGCACTCATACCCATAAAAGCATGTGTTTTTACGGTTGTAGTCTTACCTTCCTCATCTCTATGATGGGATTATAGTTTCACATAAAAAGAGGCTTTCTAAGCTGTAGGACTTATCCTGACCGAAGTGACAAGCCAGGACAAAGCCGTGGTGTGTTTTGGTTTGGTTGGATTTCTGCTTTTCCTCCCTCCTCTTCCCCTCCTGATGCCTCTGTCTTGTGCTGGTCCTCATTTTCTTGGGAAGAAGACAGTAATATAAGTGGCAGTTTTCCCTCTTTGCCTGCGTTACCTAATGTTCCCCTCGGGCATTTGGCTAGCTTCATGACCCTCAGACCCAACTTTCAGCAGAGGTGGTGTGTGGTTTTTTTTATTAATTGATTTTTAATTACAATCGACATATAGTTTTATATTAGTTTCAGGTGTAACACATAGGGATTCAACATTTATATTCCTTACAAAGTGATCGCTCCGATAAATCTAATACCCATCTGTCAGCGTACATAGTTATTACGATGTTATTGACTCTATTCTCTGTGCTATACTTTACATCCCTGTGATCTTTTCAATCCCCATGAAGGTTTCTGTTGTTGATCATCTCAGTATGGAATGATCACCTGCAGAGGCTCCAAGATATCTATGTAACCAGCTATAATAGACATGGGAGGAGTGGGGGTGGCGGGACCGAGAGAACAGTGCTCTGGACAAACCATTTTTCTCCAGAAGTCTTTGGCTTTAGGAAGAGCTATCACCTGCCTCAGTTTCCCTGGCGTGAAATTAAGCCAGGTGTTGAGGGCAGACACCTGCTTCTGTGCATGACTTCAAGTGAGCCCGATTAGTCACTGATGTAAATGCTCAAGATACGTCATGACTCTGCTCCAGGGGCCGTGCAGATCTCAGTGGCTGCTGTGGATTTTCTCCTGCTTACACTGTGATGGAAAGAAAATCAGCAGGTTCTGTGGGTGCACCTTGCCTTTGAAGCCTAAGCTCCATCCTGAATCTGGGCAGCACTCTTCTTTAGAGACTGCTTTTGGTTTTGGTTTTTCCAAATGGACAGTTCCCTGGTGCTGTCAGTGCATAAAGGAAGTGGATTTTGTCCTTAACTCTCACTGAGAGCTTTGACCATTTCCCAGACACCCTCAAGCCCAAGGGATGGATCTGTATGAGGGACAAAGATGGCTAAACTTGCCTTGTTCTCCCCCAGCTTTGCACTTTAATCTGTGCTTCACATTAATGCTAGTTAGTCAGTGGAGGCTACAATGTCCTCCAAAGTGGATTGGCAGGGCAGCTGGTGGAGATCATGCAGAGATCTTTTTCATTTTCTTTTCTTCATCTGTTTTTAACAGCTTTATGAAGATATAGTTCACATAGCATACAATTCACCCTTTTAAGTGTACAGTTCAATGATTTTTAGTATATTCAAAAAGCTGTGCAACCATTACCATGATCTGATTTTCAAACATTTTCATCACCCCGAAAACAAATTCTGTGTCCATTAGCAGACACTTTCTGTTCTTCCTCCCCCAACTACTGATCTACTTTCTGTCTTTATAGATTTGCCCGTTCTGGCCATTTCGTGTACATGGATTCATACATATGGCCTTTCGTGACTGGCTTGTTTGATTTAGCATAATGTGTTCAGGGTTCATCCATGTGGTAGCCTGAATCAGAACTTAACTTTTTACTGCTGAATAATGGCCCATTGTATGGATAGACCACATTTTAGCCATCAATTCATCGGGTGATGGCCATTTGGGTTGTTTCTACTTTTCTGTTATTAAGAATAATGCTGCTATACCATTTGTGTACAAGTTCTTGTGTGTACTTACATTTTCAGTTGTCTTCAGTATCTACCCAGGAGTGGGGTTGCTGGGTCTTATGGAAAGCCTATGTTTTACAGTTTGAGGACCTGCCAAACTGTTTTCCTCAGTGGCTGCAGCATTTTACCATCCTGCCAGTTATGTATCTATTAGTTCCAATTTCTCTTCCTTGCCAGTTCTTGTTATTATCTGTTTTTTTTAACTTATAGCCATCCTAGTGGATGTGAAGTGTTTCTCGTGGTTTTGATTTCCATTTCCATGATGACTAAGGGTGTTGAGCATCTTTTCATGTGATTATTGACTATTTGTATATCTTCTTTGGAGAAATGTCTATTCAGATCCTTTACCCATTTTTCCTTAGATTATTTATCTTTATTTTTGAGTTATGAGTTCTTTACATATTCTGGATACTGGTCCTTTATCAGTATATGATTTGCAGCTATTTTCTCCCATTCTGTAGGTTGCGTTTTTACTTTCTTTCTTTTTTTTTTTAAAGATTTTTATTGGGGAATTGGGGGGATGGGAACAGTGCTGGGGAATTGGGGAAAGGGGAACAGACAAGTTGCTGTCGTTTTGGTGTTCAGTCTAGTTGTGGAGGACGTTGCTTCACTGGCCCAAGTTGGCACCATCATTGCGCTCTTCTCTGGTGAGGCAGATCAGTCGCCGGCTTCTGGACGGCCGCTCACTGCGGCTGCTGCCCGCTCACGCTGGCTGCTGGCCGCTCACGCTGGCTGCTGGCCACACACGGTAGCCCATGGCAATCCACTGCCACAGGGACTGCAGCCCACGCCGTCGCCGGCGACTCATAGGCAGCCCAGCTCCAGGTTGAGCTGTTGTTCAGCATCTTACCTGTGGAGGGCAGTGTCACTGGCCCTCATATGTGGGATCCGAACCGGGGCCCTCTGGCATCCCAAGCGAGTTCTTAACCATCGCGCCACTCGGCCGGCCCGCGTTTTTACTTTCTTGATAGTATTACTTGCAATACAAAAGTGTTAAATTTTGATGGAGTCCAATTTATCAATTTTTCTTTCTTTCTCAATTGTGCTTTTGGTGTCATATCTAGGAAACCATTGCCTAACCCAAGTTCATCAAGATTTGTTCCTGCGTTTGCTTCTAAAAGTTTTATAGTTTTAGGTCTTAGATTGAAGGTTATGGTCTATTTCGAGTTCATTTTTTGTGTATAGTATGAAGAAGGGGTCCACCTTCATTCTTTTGCATAAGGATATCCATTTCTCCCAGCACCATTTGTTGAAAGGAAATATTTTATCTGCCAACTCGGTGACTGTCCCTCATCATGACTCTCTGTTACTAGGTAAGTAACGACTTGGTGTCAGGCTAAGGGACTAGCACCCACTGAGAGACCAGTGATAGAATGGCAGGGATTTAAGCTTTGGGGTCAGGGAACTTCATATAACTTATTTTAACCCACAGACCACTTTATTTTGGAGTGATAGGAGGCAATTTAGCATTCATAATTTTTTAAGCCCTGAGGAGACAGCCAGCCAGACACATGGCAGCTACTCTATATGGTCCTTTCTCAACCAGGGTTCTAGGAAAGAATTCAGCTCTGAAGCCCTTAGACAGCCACTGTCTATAATAAGTTAATCTCTCTCATATGCAGCGGTTCTCAACCTTCCTAATGCTGCGACCCCTTAATACAGTTCCTCATGTTGCGGTGACCCCCAACCATAAAATTATTTTCGTTGCTACTCTATAACTGTAATTTTGCTACTGTGATGAATCGTAATGTAAATATCTTTTTGTTTCCCGATGGTGTTAGGCGACCCCTGTGAAAGGGTCGTTCGACCCCCAAAGGGGTCGCGACTCACAAGTTGAGAACTGCTGGAGAATCATCTCTACTATGCGTTCTCTTTGGGAAAATTGAGAAAAGAGTCGCAAGTCATTTTCTTAATTCTCTAACAGAGCACTGGTTAAGAAAGGCTAAAAAATGGTCATCAGCACTTTGGGAAACGAACATCAGAACTGACCTATTATAAGAAACAAATTCTCCTTCAGATACAATCATTGTCTACTCCATTTAGGGTAAAGGAACTAAGAAAATGTTCTCTCCATGTGAGCTGCCGAGTCCAGGTTATAAGGAATAAACAGCTCTCCGATTGTATCATCATGAATGAGCTTCCCATAAGGACAAAAGTGGGTTTTTCGTAAAAATAATTTGGCTTAGTTGGTTTTTCCCCATGTCTCATGTATTTGCTTTGGATGCACTTTGGGGAAATCAAATGGTCTTGTAGTTTGGAGATAGAGGATGTTTGTGACAGTAGTACGACCGAGCCTATGCCAGCCTCTGGCCTCTGCTCTTCTCTGTAACCTCAGAAAGGTTACAGGGAGGTGTCCTGTCCTGCCCCGGGGCATGCCCAGCAGCCAGGGTGGCAGTGTCTGCTCACCTGCATGATGTTCTCAGTGTGCCTGGGGCCCTGTTGCCCTTCCTGCCTCACATTTGGCAGTACTGGAATGTCTGTGGGGTTCGTAATTGGCATTGCAGATGAAAACTTAACCATTTCCAGGTAGAGAAAAGGCAATACAAGTTCAGTTCATAGAATCGGTACTCAGAATTCCTTGGGAGAAATCAGGGCCCAGGGTGAAGGTTAAGAAGATTTTTCTCATCTAGAGACCCCATTTAATATTCTTTCAAAAATTAGTTCAGCCGCTTGAACAAAAACTAGGTAACGGTTGCTCAAATAACATAATAGAAATTAACTTATTTTGAATGTAAAAGTTTGAGTTGAAGAGTGATCCAGAAGCAGGGCAGCTTCTCTTCAAGGAACCCAGGTACCTTCTCTCTTCTTGTTCTAGATCCCCGTGGGGGTTGCCTTTATCCATATGGTAGAAGATGTCTCACCATGAACTTGTTCACACTCCAGGCCCCAGGGAGCGAGAAGGAACAAATGGAGGGAAAACGGATTCCTTTTAAGGGCATGGCTCATAAGGGACACACATCGCTTCTCTCTGATCCCTTTGGCCCAAACTTAGTCACATGTCCTTACCTACCTGCAAGGAGGACAGGGAAATGTCATTGCTAGTGGGATGGCCATGTGCCTAGCTCAAACTAAGGATGATATGCAACTGAAAATAATAATAAGCTTCGGAGGATACTCCGCTACAAAACCTTCAGTGGACGGTGCCTCACAGTGCTACAATTCTAAATTGATAGATAGTATAACATGCAACAGAACCATGCAAAATTAATGTCTGCTGAACTGTTATTCCTTCATCTTCTTCTTGGAAGCCAGGCTGGTTAGATCCCAGCCTGAAACAGTGAATAGCAATATTAGGAGAATATGAACAGGCAAACTCTGGAAGCAGCTCTTAAAGAGGGTAAGGCAAGTTAGCCTTTGTTGAACCCTTGAGAGATGTTCTGGGCCTGATCCTATATTTGCATTATTTAGGGCTCCTTTGGTTGCAGATAATAAAAAGCAACTTGAGGTAGCAAACCCATGTACTTCATTATAAGGATATAGGGGTGACTCATGGAAACTGGTGGCAGGAATGGATTGAACAGGTGATTGTAAACCTTTTGGGGCTCCTTCTGATGCTTCTCAATTTTCTTAGTGTGTTTTTGTCATTTTTATCTCTGAAGACTTCTTGACCACCTTCAGCTCCACAGATTACATTCTGACACTGCAGGGCCAGGCTAAACTGAACTCTTAGCCATAACTCACATCCCTGGGAGAGAGAATCTGGTTAGCTCAGCGTGAGCCAGCATCCATTCAAGTGTGAAAATAGAGAGGAGGTTTCCTTAAGACAAATAGGACTGCCTGCCAGGGGCCCATCCCTGTGGAGGAGGGGGGAGGGGTTGGAGACAGTTCCCAGAGAAGGGAGAAACTTTTACAAGCTGGGCACACATAGCATGGTAGTAGTTTAAGGAGGGTCATCCAGTTCTCATCAACAAAGTTTTTTATTGTTTTTTTTTTTAATTTTAATTTTGAAATGCATATAGATTCACAGGAAATTACGGAAATAGTACAAAGAAGTCCTGTATAGCTTTCACCTAGTTTCTCCCAATGATTGCATTGTACCTAATGATAGTATAATATAAAAACTTGGAATTTGGCATTGGGACAGTGTATGTGTATACAGTTGGCCCTTGAACAGCATGGGGGTTAGGGTCACTAACCTCCCCACAGTTGAAAATGCATGTATAATTTTTCACTCCCCCAAAACTTAGTTGTCCCTGTGGGGGGATTGGTTCCAGGACACCCTGCATATACCAAAATTCATAGTTGTTCAAGTCCTGCATATAAAATGGGTCAATCCAATAGTTTAGTGGGGAGGGAAGTGGTAGACAAGGGTAAAAGGGATCAAATTATATGGTGATGGAAGAACTGACTCTGGGTGGTGAGCACACAATGTGATATATAGATGATGTATTACAGAGTTGTACACCTGGAACCTATGTAATTTTACTAACAATTGTCACCCCAATAAACTTTAATTAAAAATAAATTTAAATAAATAAATAAATAAAATGGGTCAATCAATGCGTATAGTCAGCCCTCTGCATCCGTGGACTCCCAACCATGGATCAAAAACAGTACAGGTATTTATTGAAAAAACCTGCATATAAATGCAGTTCAAAACTGTTGTTGAAGGGTTAACTGTAGTTCTGTGCTATTTTTCACATGTGTAAACTCTTGTAGCCACCACTGTAATCAAGATACAGGAGTCACACCTACCCTCTCTTCCCCATCATTCCTTACCCCTGGCAATAACTGACCCGTTTTCCATCTCTATAATTTTGCCATTTTAAGAATGTGATATAAATAGAATCACACAGCATGTGACCTTTTGAGTTTGGCTTTTTTCCCTTGGTATAATATCCTTGACATTCATCCAAGTCTTTATGTATCTCAATCAGTACTGCAAAGTAGTGTTCTATTGCATGGATGTACCACAGTCTTTTTAGCCATTCACCTGTTTAGGGACATTTTGGTTGTGTCTAGTTGTTGAGTATTACAAATAAAGCTGCTGTGAGCATCTGTGTACAGGGTCTTGTGTATACCTAAGTTTTCATTTCTCTGGGATAAATATCCAGGAGTGTGATTGTTGATCCAGAGTTTGTGGGGTTTTTTTTAAAGAAACTGCCAAGTTGCTTCCCAAAATGGCTGTACCATTTTATGTTCCCACCAGCAATGTTGGAGATATTCAGTTTCTCCACATCCTCGCCAGCTTTTGGTATTACTATTTTTCATTTTATTTTAGCTGTTCTAATGGGTGTGTAGTGCTATCCCATTGTGGTCTTTCTCTAATGGTTAGTGATGTTGAACATTTTTTCGTGTGTATTTACCATCATACATCCTCTATGGTGACATGTCTCTGTATGTCCTTTGCCCATTTTTTAATTGAATTTTTTTCCTTTTACTGTTGAGTTTGAGAGTTCTTTATATATTCTAAATGTAAATCAATTGTCATATCTCCCAGTCTGTAGCTTGTCTTTTTCATCCTCTTAATGGAGTCTTTTGTAGAGCAGAAGTTTTTAAAATTTTGATGAAGTCCAGCTTATTGATTTCTTTTTCTTTTATGGATTGTGCTTTTTTTTGTTGCATCAAAAAACTTATTAGCAAGCCCCAGGTGCTGAAGATTCTCTCTTATGTTTTCTTCTAAAATTTGTTGTTTTAAAGATTTTATTGGGGGTTGGGGGAGGGGAACAGCCAAGTTGCTGGCCTTTTGTTCTTCAGTCTAGTTGTGGAGGATGTCGCTTCACTGGCCCATGTTGGTATTGTGATCACTGCACTCTTCCTGGCTGAGGCAGATCGGTCACCGGCCATTGGATGGCCGCTCATGGTGGCTCACGGCTGCTCACGCCGGCTGCCAGCCACTCACAGTAGCTTTATGGCAGCCCACTGCCGGCCAGCCCCACTGCAGTCTATGCCATTGCCAGTGACTCACGGCAGCCCAGCTCCAGGTCGAGCTGTTGTTCACCATCTTATCTGTAGAGGGCGCATCATCACTGGCCCTCATGTGGGACCCGAACCGGGTCCCTGCTGCTCAGAGCTGGCATCCCAAGCCAACTCTTAACCAACGAGCCACTCGGCCAGCCCTTCTAAAAGTTTTTATAATTTTACACTCTACATTTAAATTGGTGATCCATTTTGAGTTAATTTTTATATAAGACGTGAGGTTTAGGTCAAGGTTCTTTTTTTGCCTATGGATGTTGAATTGCTTTAGCACTGTTGACTGAAAAGGCTATTCTTTCTCCTTTGACTTGCTTTTGAACCTCTGTCAAAAATAAGCTGGCTGTACTAACGTGAGCTTGTTTCTGGGTTCCCTATTGTCTTCCATTGATCTATGTGTCTTTCCCCCTGCCAATACCACACAGTTATGGTTACTGTTTTTGTTACTTGATTACTTGATACTATACCTATATAATCTTCTATTCTCCCACTTCATTATTCTTCAAAATTGTTTCAGCTATTCTAATTCCTTTGACTTTCCATATAAATTTTATTGGGTTGTTGGAAAAGTCATGACGTATTTTTTCTATGTTTTTTGTTGCAAAAATGTGTCATGACTATTCCAATAACCCAATAGAATAATTTTGTCTTGAACTATAAAAATCTTGCTGAGATTTCAATAGGGATTGTATTAAACCTTTATATCAGTCTGGGGAGAGTTGACATCTTTAGTATGTTGAATCTTCCAATCCATGAATACAAGGTGGGATCAAACAATATGGTGAATGTTTAAATTAAAAAAAAGGATTATGGTAAAAGACCATATCATACCATTAATACCATTGCCATTAATCCCCCTCAAATACTCCCCTTTGCTTCAAACACACTTATCCCATTATTCTTGCCACTTTCTGAAGCAGTTCTGGAAGTCCTCTTTTGTTGAATATTAAAATATTTCTGTGTATTTCTCAAGTGCTACAGGTGTATCTGCTAGTGTATACATATGTAGACACGTGCAGATATATCTATCTATAGGTAGATAGATAGATAGATAGATAGATAGATAGATAGATCGATCGATCCTGGCACTCATGCCTAATATGGAATAAAGGAGAGTTACGTACGTTGGCTAAGTTAATGTGTAGGACCTTTGCTAAAGAGAATGTTCTTCTATTTTTTTCCTTCAGACTTATCTGCAGGGGCTGCCTGCAGGTCTTTTAAATGCCATTAATGCTTACCCCAAAGGGGCATTCCAGTTACTATGGTTTGTCAGGAAGAAATACTTCTTAAAATGTCTTGGAATAAATGGAATGCAAAGTGTTTGAAAAGGCCCAATTCACAACTTTAACTTAGAAAATGGAAATTACTTCAGGTGTAAATAATTCATCCCAACAAATATGTTTCTTTTGGTGTTTACAAATGTATCATTTTATTTTTGGAGCCCTATGATGTTAGTTAGCCCCTTGTTAGTTTAGCACTTTTCATGAATCAGAGATTTCTGACAAGGGTCCAGGGTCCAGACCTCTAAGTTCTGTTTCACTGAACTCTTTGTACTTTTTTGTAGACAGTCTTCCAAGCAGAAGAAGGCTATTCAAACTGCAATCCGCAAAAATAAAGAGGCGAATGCAGTGCTGGCTCGGTTGAACAGCGAACTCCAGCAGCAGCTCAAGGTAAGGAGCTTCCCAAACTGGGATCATCAGGCTTTGCACCTGAGCTGTTTCATTCTGTTCTGACCACTGGCCAAGCATCTGGGTCTATTCCTGTTGGTAAGACTTCCCTCTTTGCTCTCAAACTCCTTTGGAAGGCAGAGCGTTGCTGTATTTAAGTGTTATGGGTTGGCTCTTAGATGTTTAGAGGGAGACTGTGACTGTAATATATAGACTGCATATTGTGTATCAATTAAAACAGCACAGGCTCTATTACAAAGGCTGTTTGAAGGATTTTTATTGCCCCAAGCTTCTGGATAAACCCTTAATTGTTTAGATCTGCCCTGAATTATGCTATACTTATTTCAGTGGAAGAGGTTGGCCCTGATACTCTCAAAGGCCAACCCTTCCCCTGGTACCTTGGAAGTGGGTCCAGATCACCTTGTCAAGGATATCACCCCGTCCTTATCACCTGTTTCTCTTCACTGTTCATCTTCCCTGTATCAGCTTTCCAGAGCCTACATAACAGTACTACTCTCGGTGGGCTCAGAGCTCTGGAGGCTGAGGGTCTGAAATCAGGTGTCATCACAGTGTGTGTCCCTCTGAGGGCTGTCGGGGCGGACGCTGCCTCTCGTCTTCCCAGGTCTGCTGGTGGCGGGCAGTGCTTGGTGTTCCCTGGCTGTAGATGCGTCACTCCAGGCTCCACCTCCACTTTCACACGGCTACTTTCTATGTCTCTCTGTCCAAATTCCTCTTATTGTGTTCTCTTCTTATAAGGACACCTGTCATTGGATTAAGGCCCGGCCTAATCTAGTGTAACTTCTTTTTAACTAAATCACATCCTCAAAGTTCCTATTTCCATATAAGGACACATTTACAGACACTGGAGGTTAGGACTTAAACATATAGTTTTAGGGGACACAGTTCTCCACATCGCGTCCCCTGGTCTCTGCTGGGTCATTTACGTCCTCATGTTCACACGCTCCAGTGTTGTCCATTATCGTGACTTCACGTCCTCTGCCGCTCCTGCTGGCCTCTGGTCTCCACAACCACAATTCTTAGCAGTTCTTGTCACTTCCTATCTCTGCTTCCTCACCAGCAGTCTTCGCTCCCTCCACTTCAGTGTGGCTTCACTCTCCTCCACTCACACCCCTCTTACGGCCAATTTCATTGGGCCTCTTTTAATGTTATTTGAATTATCAGAAGAATCGATGCATTTGGGCACTCCCTCCTCTGAAGCCGCTTTTCTAACTGGCATTTGGGAAACCAGACTTGGCTCTCCTTCACTGGTGCTTCCTCCTTAGCACTGTCCGCTGTCTCTTCCTTCTTCAGTTTCTCTTTTGTTACCCCTGCTACCTTTGCCCCAGTGTTTCATTATGTATATTTTTAAGCATACAAGAAAGTTGAAAGAATCATATAACAAATACTTTTACAGCCACCACTTCGGTTCTACCATTAACATTTTCTTATACTTGTTTTATCACCTCTCTAGTCTTTTATCCCTCCATCCATACATCAGTCCTTATTAATTTATTTTTTTAAAGGTTTTTATTGGGGAATTGGGGGATGGGAACAGCGCTGGGGAATTGAGGGAAGGGGATCAGACAAGTTGCTGTCCTTTTGTTCTTCAGTCTAGTTGTTGAGGACGTTGCTTCCCTGGCCCAAGTTGGCACCATCATTGTGCTCTTCGTGGGCAAGGCAGATCAGTCGCTGGCTTCTGGGCGGCCACTCACGCTGGCTGCTGGCTACACACGGTAGCCCATGGCAACCCACTGCAGCAGGGGCTGCAGCCTAGCCATCGCCGGCAACTCACGGCAGCCCAGCTCCAGGTTGAGCTGTTGTTCAGCATCTCAGCTGTGGAGGGCAGTGTCACTGGCCCTCATATGTGGGATCCGAACCAGGGCCGTCTGGCGTCCCAAGCCAGTTTTTAACCAAAGCGCCACTCGGCCGGCCCATCAGTCCTTATTTTTAACATATTTCAAGTAAATTGAAGACATCTGTACATGCCCCCTAAATATTTTAGCATGCATGTCATTATCTAGAGTTCAGTATTTTTACAAGTTTTTCTTATGATGTAAATTTTACATACAGTGAACGCACACATCTTACTGGTACGTTTGCTGAGTTTTTAACAAATGCATACACTTACGGAACCCAAACCCCTGTCAGGATACAGAACATTCCCATCACCCCAGGAAGCTCCCTCTTGCTCCTTCCCAGTCAATTCCTGCCCCACTCACACAGAGGTAACCACTCTTCTAAATTGTTTGTGCCATAGTGTTGCCTATTCAATAACTTCATGGAAATGCTGTCCTCTAACACGTACTTTTGTGTAAAACTTCTTTCACTTAGTATTATGTTTTTGAAATTCACTTAGAGTGTTGCATGGGTCAGTAATCTCCTTTTTATTGCTGAGTATTCTGTTGAGTGAATATGCCACAATTTGGTTATCAATTCTCCCATTAATGGACACATGAGCTGTTTCCAGGTTTTGGCTATTTTGTATAAAAGTGCATTCTTGAATAAGTCTTTGTGTGGAATGCATTCTCATTTCTCTTGGGTAAATACCTAGGATTAGGATTAATAGGACATATGGTGACTTATGTGATTACTTTTATTAAAACTGCTAGCGCTCTTCCCAAAGTAGCTGTAGCATTTTTTACTGCCCCACTAATGTATGAGAGCTCCAGTTGTTCGCATGCTTGCCAACATTTGGCATTATTCTTTTAATTCTGGCCAGTCCTGTGGTGATTTAGTTTTTATTTCGCATCTCCTCAATGCTTATGTTGAATATTTTTCTATGTGATTATTTACCTGTCATATTTTTTTTTAATTTTTTTATTGTTAGTTTCAGGTGTACAGAACAATGGACTCAATGGAACTGTCATATTTTTTTATGAAGTGTTTTTAAAAATTTTTGGCCATTTTTTAAATTGAGTTTTTAGTCTTTTTGTGTGTGTGTGTGTGAAGTTGTAGGTAGATGCTTTTTATATTATCTTGGTTACCAGTCCTTTGTCACATGTATGCTTTATAAATGTTTTTTTCCAGTCTTTGTTTTACCTATTCATTTTGTTAACTGTATCTTTTCATGAACAGAAGTTTTAATTTTGATAAAGTGTAATTTATCATTTTTCTCTTTTTTAAATAATTATTTTTTAATTACAGTTGGCATATAATATTAACTAGTTTTAGGTGTACAACATAGTGATTAGACATTTATATAACTTACAAAGTCATCACCCCGATAAATCTGATACCCATCTGACACCATACATAGTTATTACAATATTACTGACTATATTCCCTATGCTGTACTTTACATCCCCATGACTATTTTGTAACTACCAATGTGTACTTCTTAATTTCTTCCTCTTTTTCACCCACCCACTAACCCTCCTATCATTTTGCAACCTTCAAAATGTTCTCTGTATCTATGAGTGTGTTTCTGTTTCTGTTTTGTTTGTTTATTTTGTTCTTTAGATTCCACATGTAAGTGAAATCATATGGCATTTGTCTTTCTCTGTCTGACTTACTTCACTCAGCACAGTGCCCTCTAGGTCCATTCATGTGGTTGCAGATGGTAAGATTTCATTCTTTTTTATGGCTGAGTAATACTCCATTGTATACATGAGGTCGGACAATTAAGTTTGCGAACTCATCCTAGAAAAAGTGCTACATATCTCATTGCTGAATATCACTATGGTCACCTTTGAAGTACTCGCCTTGGGAAGCTATGCACTGATGCCAGCACCTAGTCCACCCTTCAAAGCAATTTTGGAACGCTTTTTCTGGAATGGCCATCAGAGCTGTCATCGTATTACCCTTGATGTCCTGAATGGCATCAAAATGTCTTCCTGTCAATATTTTCTTTGTCTTCAGGTAAAGAAAGAAATCATTGGGGGCCAGATCAGGTGAGTAGGGAAGGTGTTCCAATACAATTATTTATTTACTGTCTAAAAACTCCCCCACAGACAGTGCTGTGTGAGCTGGTGCATTGTCGTGATACAAGAGCGATGAATTGTCTAACTTTTTCACAGAGCCTTTTCAGGACTTCCAAATAGTAAACTTTGTTAACTGTCCAGCTGGTACAAATTCATAATGAATAATCCCTCTGATATCAAAAAAAGGATATCAACATTGTTGCAACAAGTTTGCGAACTTAATTGTCAGACCTCATGTGTACACCTCCTCTTTATCCATTCATCCACTGATGGACACCCAGGTTACCTCCATATCTTAGCTGTTGTAAATAATGCTGTAGTGAACATGGGTGTGCAGATATCCCTTTGAGATCCTGATTTCATTTCCTTTGTATATATACCCGGGAATAAGATTGCTGGATCATAGGATAGTTTTTTAAAAAAATTTTGAGGAACATCCATACTGTCTTTTTAATAGTGGCTCTACCAATTTATATACCCACCAACAGTGCCAAGCCTTTCCATTTTCCTCACATCCTTGTCAACAGTTATCTTGTATTTTTTATTTATTTATTTTTTTTTAGCTGAGCCATCCTGCTACCTGTTGGCAGCTCAGCGGTAGCTCAGCTTGAGCCGGGAATTGAACTGGTGACCCTGTTGCTCAGAGCTCGCAATCTTGAGCGAGCTCTTAACCAACTGAGCCACTTGGCCAGCCCTTCTTGTCTTTTTGATAATAACCATTCTAACAGGTGTGAGGTGATATCTCATGGTGGTTTTGATTTGCATTTCTTTCACAATTAGTGATGTTGAGCACATTTTCATGTACCTGTTGACCATTTGTTTTGGTATGGTGTGTTTCTATTTTCTTTTGTTTCAATATTATTTTTTTCATTTGCTTTTATTTTTTTATTATAATTAGTTTCAGGTGTACAACACAGTGCAGTAGTTACACTTTTTACCCCTCGAAGTGACAACCCTCCTCCCCAATCTGCCACCCCACTTCCCTCCCCATATCTTACATAGCTATTACAATTCCATTGACTCCACTCCCACACTACACTCCACATCCCGTGACTACATATATATTCAATTATAGTTGACATA